GTCCAATATACATCAATATACGTCCAATATACGTCAATATACGTCCAATATACGTCAATATACGTCCAATATATTTGACAGTTTTGCTGCTATATTGATTGTTTTATATACGAGTTTTCTTTGACAGGTGTGTTTCCGCGATCGCCGTCGCAGCCAAGCCACCTTGGTAGTCACCGTGTTTTCTTAGTCATGCTCAACTACGGCTACGTGACTACCATGACATGGGAGAATTTTCGCGAAGACCAACTGGCAGCCATGATTGAGTGGCAAGGCGAATTACCAGCGAAACAGAGTCATCGTTATCGTCTTGGAGGCAACACGCACTTAGGATGCATTGTGGCAGTCATTGTAACAAAACCTTTAGTTTTTCAATGGTAGACTACTCCGGTGTTGCATCTTCTACCAGAATGTAAGTTTATTCATAACATTTCATAACAACATCAAACATATAGTTTTTCCCTGTGTCTTCAAGGTGAGCATTCGGGGCAGCTTTGTTCCATTCCAAGCGATTGAAGAGCAAGTGTACGAGCACTATGACATCTTCGAGCGGAAGACGACTCCATTATCCATTGCGGTTGCGCGTCCACCCTCTGGAGTTGCTCAGAAGATTTACCATTTGGTCCGCGATGGGAACTATGTAGACATCAATTCCTTCCAGGGAGAATTTGTAACCAGGGTGAAATATCACGGGAGTGCACAGGTTCAAGACTTCTTGATGTGCTGCATGGACGCTGTGGACGACACCGTCCCTCCCATCGATCGACGAAACCAGATGCGTTTTGTGGTGAACGGTACACACTTCATCTCAAATGGTGAGTGGCGTGATGAGGTTTCAAAATGTTTTTCGCCAATGAGTGAGGAGGCTGTGCCTAAGGCAGCGCCCAAATCCTCCAAGGCAGCGCCCAAGAAATCTCCCAAGCCGGCGCCCAAGAAGTCCTCGAAAAAGAGACCGGCTGCTAATCAGAGCCATGGTGTCAAAAAGAGGCCAGCCATGAGCTGAAAATATCATGGCACTTGGGCTTGCCGCATTTGAATACCCTTCAAGCGGCTCAGTGGGCCGCGCCTTGTGCAGCGGCCTTGTGGGCCGCCAAAAGAGAGCTTTTTGATTCAGGTGGACAGCGCCAGCTGTCCCCAATGGAGGCGGCTGAGAAGCATTAAACAGAGTTACTGTAAACTACATCATACAATCACGATTGTCATTGTGACCATCATGAGAATCATGAACATGAGCCTCATCAGCATTATCATTGACACCGTCAAGACTATCGTGACAGCGCTAGCAGTGTATGCGTTTTTTGTTTTGAGTTTTTCTGGTCCGAAAAGAAAGCGCATCGTTCCCTTCTCTTTGGCACTCATCATGGATGCGGAACCTGCGCCAACCCTTCAGCAGCCGGGCGAGTCACAAGTCAATCCATCTGTCCAGCCAATCTTGAGTGACGAGAGCCAGCGTCTTATGAGGGAATGCCCAGAAAACCAATTGGGCATGGACACTCCTGAGAAGGTTGGAGAGGAGCAGGTTGAAGAAGCAGAAGTGAGTCAAATTGCCAAGGTCGACTCTCTGGTTCTCATGGACAGCCCTCCCAAAGATGAGGAATTGAGCAAAGTCGTTTGCCAGAAGTGCCAGATGGAGGTGTTTGTGTTCGATGCCCAAGCCAAAGGCAAGACTTGGTGGTGTAAAGCGTGCAATGCCATCAACTCGACACTCCGTCGAAACCTCACATGGCCACCTCCAGAGTTTGCTGCTCTGACCACCGAAGAACAGGTTCAATTTTGGCAACAGTGCCGTGCCATGAGGGAAGAAAGCACTGATGGACGACTTCGGTATGATCGATTGCGTGATGTGCTGGTCAATAGCCTTACCATGGTCAAGACCAGTGAGCTTGCCAAGAGCAGCAAAGGCACTTATCTGCCGTTGTCAGTGTATGCGCAGCAGCTTGGCTGCCTTTGGCATTCGTTTCTTCTGTTTTGTGTTCCATGGATGGCAGTAGTTCATTTATATAGTATATATAGTAAACATAAAACCATTTGATGTATATAAAGAGACTTTTGCAACATTAAAACAATCAAGCCACAGCCCAGGAAAGGATACAACACGAACCAGATCCAGGAGAACGCGCCACAGATGTGGGATCCAATCTTGCAGGAAAAGACCTACATGCTCCCGGTGACGTCTTTGCAAGAGAAAGAGGTGAAACAAAGGATTGAGAGCTCTGTGGCTGCTGCAGAGCGAAGTGTCCGCAAGCGTAAGGTGGACCACCAGCCTGAGGCAGCCAATGTTCCAGGCGCTATGATCGTGGATCTGTTGAGCGACAACGAAGACGCGCCGGACACGGAGCAACCGATCCCTGAACCCGAACAAGAACTTACAGCTAAACAGTTGGAAGCCCAAAGGAAGAAGGAGGAGAAGGCTGCTGCACGCAAGGCAGAGCAGGAGCGCAAGAAAGAGAGCCAGAAAGAACGTCGTGAGATGCTGAAGATGAACAAAACCATCGTGAATTTGGCTGGCAAGGCTGTGGTGGAATTGCAGCCTCTGTGCGTGGAGCTGCAGCAGACCTGTGCTTCTGGAGATGACAATTGGCCAGACCTCTTGAAAGAGAATTTGGTGCAAGAGCGCGATGTCCTGCTTGACTGGAAGAAGGCGGCGGCTGCAGCTTTGCAAAAGCATGCCAAGAATTCTGAGGCCAAATTGGAAGCTCTCCCGTTCAAAGACAGCCAAGAGATGATGGTCAGGGTCAAAGCAGCAAAGAAATTTGTTCAGGATGCCAAGTCAGCCTCTTCCAAGAAGAGGAAGAATAAATAAAGGCATCTTTTTGATGCGGCTTAGCGGGCCGCAACTTAGCAAGCTTCGCGTTGCCGCGGCTTTGTGGGCCGCATGAAATGGCTTCAATGGCCGCGGCTTTGTGGCCGCTTGGTGGTTGCGGCCTCGAAGGCCGCCGCCTGGCTTTTTACCTTGCAATCATGCAGTGACAGGTTCTGTATAGTTCGAACCAGGTCATAATGAGGTCATATGACGACGTCTGAGTTGCATGGATGAGCGTTGAACCTGCGCGCAGAACGAAAATGTCGATCGTGCGAAAGCTTCTGCAAGCCCAGCGCTCACCAGGAGCTTGTTGACGTTCACAGTTGGGGTAGCCGGTATGTGCTCAGAGTAAGGCATGGCACACAGACATGGGTTCTAAACTTCGAATTGTTCAAAAGGAATTCAATCCTCACCAAAAAATGTATCTTATTGCAACTGCATGTATGCCTTTTAGGTTTGGGCCTGCATGAAGTCATCACAAGATGTTTCTTCATGTGATCGCATGTTTTCCTTGTACAGGGGAGCCTGCATGCCCAAGTCTCGAAAACTAGCCATGGCCATGAAGATGACCTTGTGCTACGCGAATGCTTGAAAGTGCCAGGCTGCACTGAGAAGGCGTTGCATGGCATTTTGCAGATTGCTCGCCCAGAAGTGATTCCCAAGTCTTACTCAGGTTACAAGCGCAAAGTCCACAAAGAACTACCACACGATTGCACAGTAAAACTGCCAGTGGGAGAAAACAAAGATGGACAGATGATCCATGTAGCTGTGACTCACATACCAAAGTTCTTGCAGCATTTGGCATCCCAGAATGGTGCCTTCGCGAGGAGACTTGTCCACATCATTGACAGGTCTAACGGAGAGTCCTTCAAACCTTTGTTTTATTGGGATGAAGTGATTTCAGGAAACCCGCTAGCACCGCATTCTTCCAAGAAGATTGCCATTGGATACTTTACTATGGTGGAGTTGCAGCAGAGGCACAAAGAGGAAAGCTGGATCCCATTGCTGGTGGCGCAACACAAAAGCTTGGAGACAGTGAGCGGTGGTTTTTCCAGAATGATGCGAGAAGTGGTTTTGTTGGTGCGATCTTTTGATATGCAACATGGCATTCCCTTGGAACTGGATGGGAATCAAAGGCTTCTTCGCATTGACATCATGAAAGCAAATTTCATTGCAGACTTTGATGCCATCAGGGCAACGTACAATTGGAGAGGCAGCGCTTCGATCAAAGCGTGTATAGCGTGCAAAAACGTGTGCAAAAGAGATTCCAATCTTGTTGATGGTGAGAACTATCTTACAGAAATTTCGGAAACCAAATGGTCCAAGTTTGATCTCTGGAGTGACCAGGAAGTTTTTGAGCTTTGGGATATGATGGCCCGAGACACGCCCACAATGAAAAAAAAGGACAAAGAAAAACTCGAGAAGCTTGCTGGCTTCAATTGGAATCCAAATGCTTTGTTCGCTCACGCTGAGGCCAGGGAAATTTTGAAACCAAGTGCCGTGCTTTTTGATCCAATGCATATTTTCTGGGCATCAGGTGTGGCAGCTTGGGAGGTTGTCAACTTGATGTCAGTACTTGCGACCAAGTGCAATTTTACTTGTGAAGATCTAGCCGGAAAAATTCAGGGCACCCCTTGGTGTAGTAGTACGCGAAAAGGGCAGTCCTGGCGAAAGAATTTGGCTGATGCACAAAAGTTCTCTGGTGATGCTTACCGTGGCTCAGCCAGTGATTTGAGAATGCTCATTCCTTTGATGCTTTATCACATCATGGAGTCAATCGACGACACTGAGCCTGTTCAGGCTGAGCTTCAATCCTTTTATGCCCTGGTTAAGCTTCTGGAGATTTTGGCCAGCTTTCAATGTGGGATCTCGAAAGTCAAATGCCAACAACTTTTGAAGCAAACCGAAACCTACTTGGAGCTTTACCTTTTGGCCTATGAAAACTGCAAGCCAAAGCACCATTACCAATTGCACCTGTGTGACATGATCTGGCGTACTCAACTTTGTGTGGACTGCTTCCCACAAGAGGCAAAACACAGGACGTATAAGTATCAACTTCAAAACAGGCTGGATGGGATGCTACATGATCCATTCCTGTTTTCAGAAGGCGTCTTGACGCGTCTTTTGAACAGCCACTGCCGCCTTTTCGACAAGCCGTGCTTGCCTGGTGACCTCACACCTCCAGTATCTGAAAGTCAGAAGCTTGTAGATGGTTCGATGGTGTCTGTGCTAGAAGGCGCCGCTTTAGATCTGGAAGCAGGCCGTGTCTACAAAGATGATTTTGTGATAAGCCCGCGTGGCAGCGGTTTGGTACGAGCTTGTTTGAGATTTCGCGATCGCGCTTGGGTGCACATCGACCTCTACGATAGAGTTTTTTGGACCGTGGATTAGCAAGTTTTCCACCATTTTTCCTCATCGACCTCCATATATACCATGAAAATTTTCCCCTGTTCTATTAGCGGCCCCCAAAGCCGCAGCGGCCCTCAAAGCCGCAGCGGCCCTCAAAGCCGCCGTATGATTGTTGTTGTGAACAACATTCGTTGATCATCTTCGCACGCGTCTACACAAAACCATGTATATAGACAATCATTTTTAGTCTTAAATAACTTAAGTAGCTTTGACGGTCGCTGCGGCTCTGGGGGCCGCAGCAACAAAACCTGTGTTTGAAGTGATTTCGGTTGAATGGTTTCTCTGTCCCACCGCCAAGGTTGAGAGCTGGGCTTGCAACAACGTGACCTTGTGGCGCCCAAAGGGCGACACGAAACTGGTTGCTGATGCGGATTTTTCCAGCGCTTGGCAAAAGCCTAGCCACTGGCACAAACGGCTGGACAACAGCATTCTCCTTCTCTGCTGACGACTCAATTAAAGAGAAAACTTGCATGAAGTTATTTGAAGTTACAAACACTTACAAAAACTTACGGTTGCTCAGATTTTACTAAGTAAGATATGTTTTCATAACTTCCATCTAACTTCTTGTAAGTCTGATATCTACTTATAAGTTCGCTAAGTATAAACGGCCCTCGTTGTAAGGCACCTGCTACTACTAGCGTGGCACTTGTTACTAATAGCTTCTTGTTCCTACAATTTCCAAAAGTGATGAAGTTAAGCATATTATATACTTGCTTTCATCCTTCACATGCAACTTCATTCGAATGTCCATGTTGGATTGATTCCTCCGGCCAGCTTAGCCGGTGACAAAGCAAACACCCTAACAGCCCTAAGATAAACTTTTGAAGAAGAAAAATGATACATGTTGTTGATTGCTTTTGTTAGTGGTCGCGATTGACACCAAATCACTCCCTAATTGGAAACATATTATCAGGAACTATATTTAACATAGACCTTGCAAAGGGCCTCAAGCATGCCACAACCAAAAAAGAAACTATGGGAAACAGCGCAGGTTTCCCTTCAAAACGGCTGCTTGCCAAACGCTCCAACAATAAAAGACTTGCCGACTTGCCCATCATCTGTAGGCCACTTACATGGAGATTGCTTAAACACATAGAATGAAGACACCTGTACGTTTTGTTAGCGGCCACAGCAGCCAGTTCTTCCACTAACAACATGGACATGAAAGGAAGTCATCTGACTATTTTGGAACTAACCACGGCACTTCCTGCGCGTTTGCTGCATTTTTCATGATAAACCACAATACCCTCAGCTGGGGCAACAACCAACTACCCCCCATTTGGACATAGATGTTCTTATCCTTTTGAGAAAACACAATTATTACCACTGTCTCAGGTGACCTTCCCACAAAAAGGAAAGACTCCGCATGGAGCTGGCTCCCATCACCATCTTTTTCATCTTTGCTCATCTTCACCGTGTCTTTCTTTCTGTTCTGTTCTATTTGTTTGTTTTCCTCTCTCTCTCTCTCTCTGTCTGCGTTCTTTGTTCATCACCCTGTTTCTTCAAATGATTCTTGGTGTCTTTTTTCACCGCCATCTCCCAGCCTCTGTAGGGGCTCGCCCCCTTCTTGGAGGCTTCGTTTCCCTCCCAGGCGCGTAAGGATGGTTCCACCACTCGTGGTTCACGTCCTGACAGTCCTGGGCGACACTGCCGTTGGACAATACATGACAAGACTGCCAATACTGTATCAATGACAGTATGATGTAGTATGAGTGAGGAACTACAGTATTGTACTTGCAACTGTCACTGTGCAAATGTGTGCGGTGATCCAGTGTTCCAGTTGATGCACGTCGACTTGTACACATATTCGCAACCTGTCCATGCAAATGACACCTCCAAACACTGGGTCTCTTCATGTTGTGATCCTGAGCCACCTGCCTCAGTGAAAAGCGCGGGCAGAAGCGTGGTATTGGAAGACCAAGCGGTTGCCAGAGTGGCCACTAGGATCAAGCCACCTCAGAGGACCAATCCGTTCCCCTAACATCACCTAACATCCCTAGGAGCCTCTGTAGGCTTGTTAGGTGGGTCCTGTTGAAGGCCTTCAGTGAGTCTGGGCCAAATCCTCTCCCATCTGTTCGGGGCGAGGGTGGAAAATATCTGATGGTCGAGGTGTGGTCGTTCGGGGGGAACCCCATCTTGGAGATCGCCGGTGCATCACATCCTCAGGTTTCATCCCCAAAGGCTGTGCGAGAATGCGCACGAAGATCCAGCCTCCCCATCTAAGAGGCACCAACAAGATCCAACAGGTTTCAAGATCCAATGGGGGTCTCCCAGCACATGAACTGGCAGCTGTCGAGCCCAGCTTCCAGAACCTTCTTTGCAGATCAAGTCGGCCCCACATCCGCACTCAACTATATGCAAGGACCCATGTGCAATCTTGATCTGTGAGTAGGCCTTTAAGAGGGCCTGTTCTCAGATGCGATCCGCATCGGCCTCCGTCTTCAGACGGATCCGCATCTCGCGCTCCGCCTCTCGCGCGCATCTCGCGCGGAGCCCGCGACTGATGGGATCAGTGACTGAAGGATGAACCCTGCATAGGCCCGAGTCCTGCACACACAGAAGAAAGGCAGCCATCCGGGGTGCAGTACATGTGACGTGCTGAGAATCCCCCGGAAACAAGCGGGGTGTTAACCTGTTTGCCTTGCCTTTTCGTGGAAGAACTGGATGACGGGATGCCAAGCCGGGCGACCGGATGATGCGTCAAGCGGGTGTGATGAAACGGTCTGGTGGCGCCAAACGGCTGCCAAAATGATGAAGTTAATATGAATGCATAACAGGCATGACAGGCAGAACATTCATTCAGAAATCAACAATTATGAACGCATCGTGGAGTCCAAGGATGTTTGTTCAATTCCTTAACTTTCTGCAATGTTTGCCGTGTCTGAGCCAAAAAGCAACTAAAAGGCACCGGCTGGTCAGAAGAAGTTTCACTGGTTGTGGTCAAGCTCTAAGATCTTGGTTGGATCAAGTTATTAGCCAAAATTAGAACATACATGAAAATACCCTTGGTGTCGATTTCTGGTGCTGGCGTCTTGGCGGCCCAATCTCCACCAAGCCTAACGATCCTACCATACCCTATATATCTATGCGAACCATGAAGGCTTGCCTGGCACCCGTGGATTGGAACGTCAATCCCCACAGTCTGCCTTGGCACCCCTGGCACCAATGCCACAGCGAAGGAGGACGAGATCCAGTTCACGTAAGGCCCGCGGCAGCTGCCAAGGCGTGGCGCAGTGCGAAGGAAAGGGTTCCACAGCTCCACAGTGCGAAGGGAAGGTGAAACTCATCACCAGTTTTACCAATTCACAGCGACTTGGTGCGGCGATATGGCCCGATAGACTGAGGCCAGAAGTGAGTCAGGATTAGACTAGATCAACCGCGTTGGTATAACAAGGTATACCAACCTGCTACGTGCGCCACCCGGCTCCGTAGGCCTGCAGAGTGGCAGCCCCCACTGGTCCAATGAGGCAGTGCCTGAGGACGGGGGGCCGTGAGACGAGCGACCGGACTTCCATGTGAGATGGTCGTCAAGAATGTAGTTGCCAGTTAAGGAAACCAGTGGCGAAATGCAAGCTCAGCACCATAAGGAGCGAGAGATAGAGAGAAACTTGTAGTGGATCGAGGGAAGATGGCACAATCACCAAAAGGCGGTGTATATTGGGGGGTTGTGCCATCTACTCTGAACACCACTGTTTACGGAGAATGGCGTCTCATGTCGCCATCGACCGACGCACCAGGCTCCCGTCATCCTCGTCTGCATTGAATTGGTGTACAGTGTACAGTAGACGAATACTGTCCGCACGCCGCACCCTGAGCTGCGCCAAGCAAACCCTTGTTTGGGAGCAAATCTCCAAAATGCCCAGCAGCCACATGCAAAAACATGCAGCATCACCCGCCCAACGAAACTGCAAACAGGTTCAAGCACAAGCAAGGATGGAAAAGAACCAAGTAAGAAGACAAATGAGGTCTCAAAGCAACTCCGCAACATTTCTGAGAAATCCTGAAGCCGCTTGAAACTGTGTGCTCGCCCTTGGGCCCCGACGAGAGATCTAGCTCCAAGTGTTCCAGGGAGCCAGGCAAAGACAAGGCCTCACGACTCGTGGACGTGTGTCAAGACATGACAAAACTCCTCAATCCTGGGAAACAAATGAACTGGATTCACAACTAGTTGAGGGGCACATCATCAGATATATATATATATATAACTTCTACTCTGAATGAGGTGATGGTGCCCCCAAGGAAGGGTACACAATTTCAGTTTGGCCCATTTGCGATCCGATATCCAAGGGGTGGGCTTTGGCCCCTTCTGGCCCGATGTCGCACTTGTGCAAAATCAGCCGCAACCTGGCGGTCGATGGAGCTGATGGTTCCCCTTTTTGGGGAGGACTTCGGGCCATTGGAGTTGTTCGCACTTTAGATGCCCCAGGTTCCTGGCCTTTGAGCTGGCTCCGGATCTCTCTGTTGAGACATGCTGAGGCTGAAACCTGAAATCTGATGTGCGTCAAAAGGAGAATATAGATTATAAGCAATATGAACGTCACTCAAGGTTGACAAACCTCCCACGTTGAGACACATCTTTCTGGCGGCCCCTTGGCCTCTGCAAACCAGGGGGGAAACGGAGGGCTGCAGCTCCCACTGCACGGATGTTGCAACCTCGGCGCTGAACCGCGCGGTTGCTGGATCCCTGCAGACCGACGCACTCGCAGAACACTCGGCTATGACCGTGGTCCATGGTGCTCCGAGGTTCTTACCCATCCGAATCATTCACTGGGTAGATCATTCCATCCCCCAGCCAATGACTTGCTAAAGCAAGACTAACTCCAGCTAGCTGACACCGCCTGACGCTCGCTTTCGTGAAAAGTACGTACTTTTCACCGGTCGTCCTTTTTCAGAAGCGCCAACGGGGCTCGAAAAGCCCTTCATAGGTCTCGATCGGAGGCCCGGGGTTGGGGGTCGTCTGAAAGAAGTCGTCGTCGTAGGGAAGCCTCAAGGCCATCAGCGAAGCCCGGGGGCATGCAGTTTCAAAAGCAAAAGACTTCAATCGATGGGTCTCGTGATGTCACGTGTATGTACTGTATACGCAACTCCTGAAACCAAGCATGTGGGACTGTGGGACGGGCTGGGACATTTTGAGGCTTTCTAGCCTGGGGAGGGGCTTCCTTGCGTGCAGTCGGCTTCCGTTGGCTTCCTGAGTCCCAGCGTCTCCAACTCCTTGAACATCTGCCCGAAATACTTCCGGACAAAGGGGGCAGGACAGATCTGACTTGGATCCCTCTTGCCAGCACTGAAGTATTGCCCCCAAAAGGTCTCCTGCCAAAGTGCTTCGAGGAGAGGGGGGATAGGGCATGGAGCTGGTCGCCTGGCACTACACCACATCTGCTGCAATTAGCCAACTTGAAGAGATCAAAGAATAGTGACGTCCCAGATCGTCCCAGAACCCAACAGTAGGTGCAGTTGATCTCATGGACCATCAGGTAGCAAGAAGCAACAGCCAATGCCACCTGTATGGAGTCTGGTGACACGGATGTGATAGTGATGTCACGACCTGCGCACACCCGAACTTGCAGGGATCCAAAGAACCCGTGAAACAAATGTGGTTCAGCCGCTTCAGGAACAATGACGCTACTAGGGGCTCCTGGCCTTACTACTAGTAACAAGAAGCTACTAGGTTTCAGATTGACTCCTCCAACCACCATGCTCACCCGGCTCACCCCAACCAACCGCGTTACGCTCGCGCGAGGCTCCGCCGCGTCGACTCGTCCTGCACCGGGGCAACACAAGGCTCCGCCATCGAGTCGTACCTTGCCCGAGGTTTTCACCGCCACCAAGCGAGGATTGTGAGATGGGCGCCAGCCCAGCTGTGAGATGGCGGGTTCACAGATCGGCCAAGTACTGCTTTTTGGATGCTCAAACCAATGTCCACAAAGTCTAGATGGGAATCCACCATCCCAAATCCCAATTTGGTTTCCTAAGGTCATTATATAATTGTATATAATATATGTATATATATATATATACATGTGTGTGTGCATTATGTGCATCTGTTCCCCGAAATCCTGCAAAAGGGCCTTCCATTTTAGAAGCAAGCGCAGGCAGCGCAGGCGCTCAAAACTGACGGCCCATATAGCAACACCGTGTGTGTTTTTGTCGTATCGATTGGATATCGATGTTTAATATGGAACTCTGTATTGATCATCTCATGTGCATAGCCACAGCATCCAACATGCTGGATGCTGGCAAGGCTGCCGTTCTTCGATAATTGCATCATCCCCTTGACCAAGGTTGCACTTACTTCACCATCCCGAAATCATCCAGGTGTCCTGGCTGAATTATGATGCAATGAATGGAGCCATGGAGAGGCCTTCGACCACTGCCAAGACACAAAATCAGCATTCCAGAGTCAGCCACCGCCCGGGACATGGCCGCCTGCTCACGTGGCGTGCCCAAGGCCCACTGGACATAACGTTGCCCATCCAGGACCATATCCACCGTCAAATGAGTGTGCCCGAAGACATGCACATCCTCAGCGAATTCATCAACTTCTGAGGTTGTCACAGTGGTGGTTCAGGATCAGCTCTGGTTCGTGCCACTTGATCCCTTCTAAATTTGCGAGGGAGCCCGGGGGCGGCAGTCATTTCTGGGCGAATCTTGAAATCCGAGTAGGATTGGCACCCAGCAGTTCTGTTCCCCAGCAGCGTGCCACACGTCACCGTCATGGACCCCGGTCAGTTCTGGGGACCTCGGGTGGAGGTCAGTGCGGCCATGTGTCAGGCTTCACCCGTCGGATCTGTCCTTCCAACTTCAGTGAGCCGGAGACTTTGTGCAAGCTCGAGTCCAGCAAGAAGCGCTTCTCGGGAAAAAGCTCCTCACAAGTGTCACAACTTCACAACATGGGCGTGTGGCAGGACGAGATTCCTCGCAGAGTTCAAGAAAGGAACGGAACTATCCACCACAGGGCTGGCTTATTCGGTTTTTGCTTGTGTAAAGTTCTGTCTGTGAAGGAACGTGGCAATCTTAACATTATTCCCTGGTTGGAACAGGCCCGAATTTTTTGTGTCAGGATTCTAGAGCTTCTAACACTGAACAAGAAATGCCAAACACCGCACTGGCAAAAGAACAATAGGAGGAGGTGTCCATTTCAAATCCATACCATACCCGTCTTCCATCCAGTCGCACCAATCGACCATGTGGTGATTAGGCCATGCTTGCCTTCTTAGAACATGTACATGCCCGGTAGCTCAGGTCTTTGTAATTCCACCATTCAACTCACTTTGCTTTCGGGATTGGACGCAGTCTACACCACTGAACTGGAAATGCGACTAAGCCGGAAAACCACTATAGCGACTACTGACTTCTGGTGACGGAGCCTCTACGGAGCGTCCTGCCGGGGCAAATAGTGGGAGAAAGACAGGACGGTCGATGGCTGAATCTGTGCCACTTGTTCCAGGACCGGCTCGTTCATCTCTGCGAAGAGTTCCTGAAGTTGACGCACGACACTCGGTGCTGCCTGCTTTACATCAGCAATTCCAGCTCAGAAGACCAAGGAAACAACCGACCAAAAAATTGTCTGAAAGTCAATCCAACAGAAGGATATGAGCACGTCCCCCGGTTTCAACAAGAGTCCCGGAACAAAAAATGTCTGTGCCACTATGCGGCAAGCGACCTTTATCTCAGGTTCACTAGCTTGGTAGCAGCCTCATGCTGTCAAGCCTATTCAGGTTGCTGACACCAAAGACTTAGTCTAAGCCAGCCCTGGCCTGGCAAAAAGGTGCCCAATGA